GTTAGTTAAGGTATGAGGAGCTGTCTTCCATTTTCTATTTGCTGCAAGAAAGGGTTTTAAAAAGTTATTAAGAGAGACTCTTAGTGACATCTAGTCTAAGCCTTATGTATGTGAGGAAACTGAGGTCCAAGGTCTCAGAGTCATAGGGAAAACTTTATTCCCAGATGAACAATACTTCATTTTTTTCCCCATAGGCAAATTCTTAACTCATGCTCATGATTTCAGGTATTGAGGATTCTGGTTCTTTAAACTTTGTTTGGTGCAGGTCATTTCACCCCTAACTATGTCTCAACTTCTTATTCTTGGACTCTTTCTGCCATAACACTTTACTTCCCCTTCCTAAGTGAGGTGCCTAATGAAGCTTCTGTTACTTACAATGAATCTGTATTTAATAAATGTAATGATTAACAAATAGAAAATTGTATGTACACTATAATCAATGACCTCTTTGCTGTCCCTTAACACAGCAAGAAAGCTCTCACCTCACGGCTTGTGTACTTTCAGTTTTCTCTGTTCATGAAGTTCTTTTCTCCAGATATCCATATATTTCACTCATGTCCTGTAGGTGGTTCAATGTCACTTTATCAGAAATGTCTTCCCTAACCACTCTATGTAAAATAGCAATTCTCTACTCTTCTCATTCTTTCTCAATATATATTACCGCCTGACACATTAAATATTATTTTTTTCTTATTATGTAGAATATAAGTTCCAGAGTGCAGACTGTCACTGCTATATCCCCAAGTGCTTAAGAGCAGGGCCTGACAAAATAAGCACTCAATAAATATTTGTTATAAAGAGCGAATGTTCAAAATGTGTATCTGATAAAGAACAATAAACATACCAGAACAATAACGGCTGTCAAAATAACAAGATTAGTCAGGTTTTTTTTCCCCTTTCTCCAATTTTGTAAACGAGTTTAGTATTTGCAGATTATTTTAACAACTGTTTTGGCTACACCAAATTACTCCCATGTTTTATGTAGCATGTATTTCAAAATGACTTTTAATGACTTTTAAAAAGTATTTTTCACCTACAGTCATTTTAGAACCTATAGTTCTTGCATTGATCTAGTAGTTAAGCATGAATGCATCTAAGATTAGAGCCAGGAGGCAACACTGTGAAAGGAAGTAAGAGTGCTATTTGAGGACTGATGATTTTTCCTCAATTAAGCAGTGGGGGTCTGAGTCATTCAGGCTCTCAACATGACCAGACTAATTAACTATGTACTAATTCTAAACAATGCTACAAGATGCTACAAGAGAAAAAGGATTTAAGATTATTTAAGTTTGGGAAAAAAACCCAGTAACATGCAATAATTTGAAGACATTCAGGTTCTCCTCTAGAAAGGAGGATATAGGACACTTATTTTCCATATTAAAAAAAATATAATCTACTTGATTACCGTAAGGATGAGTTTATAGACTGTATACTAATTTTATTATAAAATCTGTCAGATAGTTACCTATTTTTTACAACAGATAATTTTATAAAAGATGCTTATAGTCCCCAAAGTTAGCTCCAAAAACTTGATCAGTAACTTATCAAATGAATAGTACTATATTAGAACCTAACCACTACATCTAACAATGAATAACCCTATAAGAAAACTTATTCACAGTTTAACCTGATGTGCTAAGTCTTTCTCTTGCAGTCGGGAGAAGAATCCAAAAGAACTAGGGAGAAAAGTGATGAAATGAGATTCCTGTTTCAGTATCTGAGTGTAGGTAAAGACTGAACTCAGTAAGAGTCTCTTTTTGGTGATATAAGCTGTCCTTTCTTCCATACCTAGCCTCAGACTGTCCTGTGTACATCCCATTCCACTCCACCTCCTCTTGCTTTCAACTACAGTTCTCTCCTTCTACCTAAGTACTGATCAAAATATGCAGTTTTACAGCTCTTCTTGTACTCTGCTGTGGCTGAAGGATATAGGCCCTTCAGGTCAAGCTTTTTCTGCTACCACTCACCTAAATGTACCAAATGTAAATAGTCTTCTTCCCAAATCAAAGCAGATGGCTTGGAGCAAGTCATACTGGTCATTGTCAAAAAAGAGCTAAAGAAATTAATAAATTATATTTTTAAAAGATTGTCCAAAAATGGTATTTTGGATTAATAACTAGAGTATAAGAAAATGTGGTGTAAAATATGCCATGCAAAACGAATACAAACTTTAAAAATATATCTACAACTTATATTAAATAAAGATAATCTATTTAACAGTTATCTTTTCATCTTACTCCACACATCCGAGTGCAAAAATTTTACTGTCAGATTCACATATATCAATAATTAAATTTTATTTGGTACTATGTCCCAGGTACTACATTTTTTTTTAAGATTTTATTTATTTATTTGACAGAGAAAGATCACAAGTAGGCAGAGAAGCAGGCAGAGAGAGAAGAGGAAGCAGGCTCCCTGCTGAGTGCACAGCCCGATGTGGGGCTCGATCCCAGGACCCTGGGAACATGACCTGAGCTGAAGGCAGAGGCTTTAATCCACTGAGCCACCCAGGTGGCCCCCAGGTACTATATTTTATCTTTAATTTTTATATTAACTCTATGAGGATTTACGATTGTCTCAATAATAAGAAAATGAAGACTTATGGTAAAATAACCTGCTCGAGGTTACACAGCTAAGTAAATGGTGGAACTGGTCTCTGGACTTCAAAATACATGTTTAAACACTGATACTATGTTGTGTGCTACACTTCTCTACAAGTAGATTAAGTCTTATAGAAGCTGAAAATCAAAATTCTTACTCTTTTCCACACATCTCCTCCACCTCAAATGTTCCCCATTTTACCAAGTTGCTCAAGCTATTCTTCATAGATAGATCTCATTGTTCCTTATCTCCCATACTCTACCTATCTCATCTCTTAAACCATCTAGAATCCTTCTACCAGGTCTCAACTACCTCACAAGCTGAAGCACAAGAGAGTTTTCTATGAGGGTACACTCTAGTGACAGAGTCTATATCCAGACAGAATATAGCAGATTAAACTGGAAAAATAATAGACTCATATTCCAAAAATAAGGCTTCATGCAAGCAACACTTGATATTATTAAATTCTAACATGTGGGACAACCTTTTTGAGTTAAAATTCTTTTAACAGAATTTATTTTCCTATAACCTTTTCCAGCTTTTCATTCAATCCTCCTTCCTAGATATTGGCTAAACCCCTGCTTTAGTGATGCTTCTGCAGCAAAATCCTTCCCTCTTAAATACTTTTGTCTGCTTACCTAAATGACTTTGAAAACGGTCACCAACACAAAACACTCACTTACTATCTACTAATCTTACGTTCCTTTTTCTTTCCAAAGAACATACCAAAACATGAGAAAGTGGCAGGCAGCTGTACAAGGATCTTACAAAATTTGAGCTCTTTAGCAAAATATGTAATAATAATAGCACTATTTTATAGTTTTACAGTGTTCTCTATTTTTAAGTGCTTTTCTTTAAAAAAAAAAAAAAAGGTTTTATTTATGGGGCACTTGGGTGGCTCAGTTGGTTAAGCATCTGCCTTTGGGCAGATCATGATCCCTGGGTCCTGCAACTGAGGTCCAAGTCAGGCTCTCTGCTCAGAGGGGAGCCTGCTTCTCCCTCTCCTTCTGCCCCTCCTCACACCTATGCTCTCTCTCAAATAAATAAATAAAATCTTAAAAATTTTTTTTAAATTTATTTATTTGAAAGAAAGTGAGCATGAGTGGAGGGGGAGGGGCAGAGGGAGAGAGAGAAGCAGTCTCCCCACTTAGCATAGAGCCCAAAGTGGGGCTTGATCCCAGGACCCGGGGATTATGACCTGAGCTGAAGGGAGACACTTAACTGACTGAGCCACCCAGGCACCCTAAAGTGCTTTCATATACTTTATTTCATTCTTCAGCAGTCATGTGAACTAAGCTTTATACGTACTATTCTCAGATTAGAAAACTATCTCAGAGACACTGTCATTCTGCCTAGGTCCCAAGGCTATTATGCAGAAGAGTCAGGACCAAATTCTAGACAGAGACTCTCTATCCACAGCTTTTTCCACTATTTATCGCTACTTCTATTTTTAAAAAATGTTTTGATATATAATAATTGTCTTTATAAATAAAATTTCATTTTTCCCTTTCAACCATTAGGTAAGCTATATGCTTAACTATAAAAAAGGGAGATGGTATGACATAACTATAGAAGAATGACAGCAAAAATCAACTTCATTTAGAATTCCTATGTAAAAAAAATGATCTAAAGATTACAAATAAATATTTTTCTTATTAGAATTTAAAAAAGTAAAAATCCATAGCAATTAAGTTAATCTCTAACAAAAATTTTAACCACACTGTATCTAATAACCCAGAAAATAAAGATAACTATGACACATAGAAATGAGCTATAAAAAAGCATGCACAGAAAGGACATGCTTTCATTTAGAACAGCATGCTTCAATTAAATTTGCAAGCGATCTAAGGAGAATGTAAAACTGATGAAACAGAACTTACCTAATTTGTAATTAAATTAAGTACACATTTATATAGAGTTTGTTCTCCTTTTTTGGTCAGAACAAGCCAACAACAGCAAGTAGCCAGAAATTACAATTAATATAAAAGAAAAATTCAAGAGGAAATGGGTTTGCTAGACTCATTATATATTCAGTCTTAGTTTCAAGAAATGAGTGATTATTTGCAATGAAGTTGGCAAGACAGGAAATTAAGTTAAAATTTATCAATCTTTTAAATGGCTTTTCTCAGCGCAACTTTTATTGTTTTTTAAAAAGGGGGAAATTCTCTTTACTATTTTATACCTCTTCGTAATGACACATTTATCTCTACTGCTGACCATGAATCTTCAGAGCTCACAGAAATAAAATGGATTTTTAGAAAAATAGTTGGATTCAGTAGTCCAAATTATCCTATTTCTTATATTAAGAGGAAGTCAGATAGTATAAATAATGAAAAGCCAAATAAGAGATCCAGTAAGAAATTAACTTAGAAGGCGACCAACTGTTAGCTTATTCTTACCTTGGTTGTTTTTTTCACGGGTTGACATTTTTGCTGGTTAAGACAAAAATGACACATCTTACAATAAAAACTGGGCATTTTCTTAAATGACTATAATAAATGAACTTCTCTTTGATTATTATGAGCTAATAAAGTACAGTGAATAAAACAAGACAATATGCTTAAAAATTAGCAAAAATTTAACTGGTGTAGAAAAATATTTTTTTAAAGGATTTTTAATTTACCTTGGTTGATGATGACATCTTTATGCCTACAGAAAAAATTAAAAGATATTTATGTTATAATTTTATCTTGCTTATCATGAGAATCACCTCAAGAAATTGTAAAAGCTTCAATGTCTAGGCCACACCCAAGATAAATCTTTAGAAGTGAAATTCGGACATGGGTATTTTCAAAAGTTTGTCACTGGTCTCAACTATTAATATATGTATCTTTTTTTAAAAGATTTTATTTATCGAGAAAGCGACAGAGCATGAGTGGGGAGGAAGTGGGGAGGAAGTGGAGAGGAAGGGGGGAGGGAGAGGGAGAAACACACTCCCAACTGAGTAGGGAGCCCCATGCAGAGCTTGATCTTGGAGACCTGGGATCATGATCTGAGCCAAAGGCAGATGCTTAACTGACAGAGCCATCCAGGCGCCCTCTAACATACACTGTTTTAGAAAACAATGAATATTCCGTAAGATCACCTGAACAGTCAAAGCAGAGAAAGAACTTACAAAAAAATCACTGAAATCTTAGGGGATTATAGAGATCTATTATTTGAGTAGGGAACACTAACAGGAAGATAGCTTTCTTTTTTTTGGACAATTACAATAAAAAACAGACTTAGAACAAAAAGAAAAGATAAATTATAATATAGATTTTTTAAAAAATGATCAAAGCAGGCATATAATTATCCATGCAAGCATGACAGTCACAGAATTATTAATTTTCAGATATAATTAAGAAAGTGTAATACCTACTTGTCTGTATTTTTTATAACTTTTGATATTAATTTTGATGTTGAAACTGCTCTCAATAATTTATTACGACTCTCATCTGAATTTTCCCATGAATTATGTGACTTTTCAGCTGTCGGTGGTCGTTTTATGCTGGAAGAAACATATTAATTTCTTAGAGAAAAATTCTATGAGTAGCAATGACATGTAATTGACAGCTTAAATAGAACATAAAAGCAGCAAAACATTTCCTTAAAGCTAATCCAGAAAAGAGAAGGAAGGATTAGTTGAAAGGTTCTGTCTGGATGAGTGAAGGAGTTAAGGCAATGAGCAAATCTGTTTATAATGTTCACTATTATTCAGAATTTTCACTCGAAGAAATATTATTTGATTAAAAAATAAATCTGTACTTTATGTTGATAGAAAAAAACACCTATGCTTCAATCCTAGAGTAAAATACTTCTCATAATTTGTGAAACTGTGATTGTGAAAAAAACAGTACTTTTTCAGAGTTATTACAAAGCTGCTATTTTCATCTTTTATATTCTTGTGTAATTAGATTATATACGATACAAATGACACTAAGTAAAATGTGGGATTAAAGGTAAAACTCTTGTGACATCCTTTAAAGATAATTTCTACCCATGATCAGAAATAAACATGACTTAACACCAGAGTGTTGTATCATCAACAATGATTCCACACATGTATCAGTGAAATTACTGACTTATAAATGATTTTTCAGCTGCATTGCTAACTATCCTACCACTCATCCAGTCTCCAACACTTCTTGCAATAGTATATCCAAAGAGCAATTTAGAATGGCAAGCGCATTTCCAGGAGACCTTAAGAAGCTGGAAAAAAAAGATCTGGGACAAAGAAGATACCAAGTCAAATCAGAATCTTAAAGAGATCGATTATAAAAAAGTCACCTTTAACCACACACAATCCAAAGTTACATAACATTAATAAGTTATACCCAAGAAAAACTCAACATGAGACCAGGCAAAAAAAATTACAAACCATTTAGACAGCATAAGAATCTGCATGAGACACAGAGACAAATCATTTTTTAGGAGTTAAACATGCATCAATCCAATGGAGAATGTTTGTTTTCCCTAATTTCTATTAGGGATTTGAAGCAGAACATTAAATTGAGCAAATAAAAATATGTTATAAATCTTTGAGGAATGGCTGTCATTTTACTAAAATCCTAGTTAGTTCTGGGAATGGTTTAAACTTTCCTGAGATTTCCAAGCAGAAGTATGATGAATAAAATATATCTATACCTAATCAAAAGCCTGAATCAGCATTTCTATAGTAGGCAAATTTCATTTTCAGTTGGTCTGAATATCTGATTACAAGACAGGTGTAGCACTGAACTCCCAGCATGCAGGTTTAGATCCCTAATTTAGGTTCACACACAATGTTAGAATGTTTCTCCCTTCTCCCCCTCTCATAGCTTTAAAATATTAATTATTACAGACACAGAGAGAAGCCCTCAAGCAAGCCTTTAGCATAGAAAAGACCAGTGAAATGGATTTATTTCTCTACTCAAGCAAGAACTTATCCTCCCAAAACCCAAAACTGAAACTGTGATGCAGTCACAATGAAGAGCCATTTGTGAAGGGCCTTTAAAAGTTCAAGGTTGTAATGATGCCAAAATATGATGAGGATAATTACAAATGGCAATTTTCTGTCCATGGTTATAAATTTATGCATCGCTTAGATAAATTTTGGTAATTTAATTATAAAAATGTTGTTTGGTATTAAAGTAGGTTATTAATAACGGTATTCCATTCACCAAACTGTTTGTAACTGAGGTTTTCTTTTTTCCAGTTTTAACTGAGAAATTTTGACCTTAAATCTTTCTTTTCCGAAGTGCTAAAATACAGAGTTTAGCAACAAAGAAGCGGTGGTGAGGGGGAAGCCACCAGGCTTTTCTCTTGGAATCCATGGATAGACAGCTTTTCTCAAGTCACAGAATTTAGGTATCATTACAACCATTCCCTAGCTCTGTACTCAGGGACAGTTAAAACCTTTTGGTGGGAGCAGAATTCTTGCTTTCTTGAGTTTGTCTGTGTATTTGGAGAGGCTGTGAAGAGGGCTGGGGAGAAGGTGATGCTCGAATTTGTGGACTTTGATCATTAGAATGAGATTCCTCTTTTTTTTCTCTCTGTCCTTGTGGTTTTTCTTTCTTTTTTTCTGTACCACTGTAAAATAAAGTATAACATGGAACAACACATATTTAAACAAACAAAAAAAAAAAGATATTTCAAACGATGGAATTCAAAATACTAAACCAAACAACTAATACAATTTACATTGTTTTCATTTAATGATGAAAATATTTCTTTGAAAATTCTGGAAGCTATTAAAATCTTCAGTAAAGAATTTATAAGAATTTTAAGGCAATATATCCTATGAAGATTGTTTTGGGACCAAAATGGCCCAATGCATTTTGCCATCTTGGCGTATTTGGGGGAACAACAGCAGCTCTCTTAACTGACTTCAACTTACCCAAATCAGAGCATCAGTGACACTTCCCATTACCTCTGTAAAACATACTGTATATATATCAAGATATACAAAACCCTGTTTAGTAGATTATTCTGGTTCCCATTTCTTCTATTTCTCCTCCTGCCAGTTGAGTTTTAAATTTACCAGGAATTGTAGGTATCCTCCCACCAATCCAGAACCTGTTTATGCCAGTTGCAGTGATTATTTTAATTACGTAAATTAATTAAGTACAAAGAAAACTTAAAAAATATGTGTAGAAAAGAGAACTGTAATTTCCATGAAAACTAAGTTGAATGCTCTGGGAGACGCCATAAAATTACTAAAAAAAAAAAAAAAAATGCCATTAAATTTTATGTAGGTGAGACAATTAAGCAAAGTTAAGGAAAAAAAGTAAGAGAAAGAAACGGGTTCTAAAAACTCTTGTTCTGCCAGAGTTTTAAATTTCTTTGTCTTAAAATTGAAAGTAATCATTATAAAAAATAATTGATGGCTGGGAGTGCCTGGGTGGCTCTGTCGTTAAGCCTCTGCCTTCGGCTCAGGTCATGATCCCAGGGTTCTGGGATTGAGCCCCACATCGGGCTCTCTGCTCAGTGGGGAACCTGCTTCTCCCTCTCCCTACTTGTATTCCCTCTCTCGCTGTGTCTGTCTAGTAAATAAATAAAAATCTTAAAAAAAAAAAAAGTGATGGCTGTACTTTATGCAAGATAGTCAACAAGGAATCTAACCAGACACACAATCAGAAAGAGGGTGGGAATCTCGGCCTTTCATTAAAAAATTGACAAGTCTATGTGAATATATTTGGCGTTAAATATTTAAGATATTTACATATAAATTCTTGTGATTCTGCACTTCTGACTCTTAATTTATGAAGCACTTGCCATTCCCAATCACTGGATAAGAGTCCTTATACTGCACATTTTTGACAATATTATAAACCAGATGGAATCAAGATTTGAATTCCATGGTTGAAAAGGCAGAAAACTCAATTGTCTACAGTTCTAAATCAAAGGACATTTTATAATTTGACTATAAGGTGCATAATCTACAAGGAAGTATGTTTAAGAACATTTTAAACAAATATACATAGTAAATACAATCTATCACATAGTAAAAGTTAAAAATACTAAAATATAATTTTTAAATTAAGAGAGAGTGCACACATATACATGGTGGGGGGAGAGGGGCAGAAGGAGAGAAGCTCAAGCAGATTCCCCACTGAGATCAGGAGAGCCCCCAACAAGGGGCTCCATCCCTTGTCCCATAAGATCATGACCTGAGCTGAAACCAAGTCAGATGCTTAACCTACTGAGTCACCAGGCGCCCCTAAAATATAATTTTTAAAATGACATTTAGTCTGATTCAGTTCTGATACCTTGACTTCAGACTAGGCCCCAACTGCCTATTTATTATTCAGTTTTTAAAAGTATGTGCTGAGAAATGTAGTTCTACCTCAAAAATATCAAACTAACTTTGAAATTTAAAACGCAGTTAGAAATTCTTTCTTGTTGGTCTTCAAACTATCCTGAATGCACAGGCCACCAGTCTTATGTGGGCCTGGTACAACCTAAGAGATTTTCCTCCTAGGGGTTTAAAAGCAAAGTACAGAGCCTCTGCATCATAAAGTAAAAAGTCAGCTGGTCTTAAGATTACTGAGTTACTACTGTGCATAATACTGATAACTGTAGAGGACTACAGTTACATAAGAAAATGGGCTGAACACAAAGTATTATTAAATACAAAGAGTTTATTAAAAATTTTCCACAATGCATTTGTTTTCTTATAATTTGTCCTTTTCTCCTAAAAGGGAAGCATATGCAATACATTTTGGCATGCTTTAGACAAGACCTTTAAAAGGCCTAAGGATCAGGGTGCCTGGCTAGTTCAGTTGTGGTGAGCATGTTATTCTTGGTCTCAGGGTTTGAGCCCCACGGTGGGGGTAGAAATCACTTAAAAAGAAAAGATGTTAAAAATAATAATAAAGAAAAAATAAAATAAAATGCCTAAAGATCTTGTCGTTCCCTTACCATTCCTGTGGCCAAATGTTTGGTTAACAACTATAAATCCAGACTGATGAATAATTTAGTCACTGACATTAATCAAGGCAACCACTTCCTATCAGTACATTTTATATATTATTCCATTAGTTAAGGTATTTTCTCAGTTACTCTTTGAAGAAAACAGTTTTAAGATTATGTAGTTGATCTCTTATGGTCTCTCCAAATTCTGTATGGGATAATTTGCTAGGAATTACACAAAAGTGGAAAAATTATGTAAGCAATTAATTTATTGATGAAAAGAACATATAGAATGTAAATCTGTAGTTTACTGAAACTTTTTTCCTGCAGTAATACTACTGCCTGCCTACCTACCATCCCCTGACACAAACACACAGTATTATAATATTTTGAATTACGCTGTAATTTTATAGTCATGGTAAAGGAATAAAAGTTTTAATAGTGTTCAGCCTCCCACTTATATACCAAAGATTCTATTTCTCCTTTAAAAATTGCTGTATCACAAATGCACTGCTTGCTACAGAAAATTTGTTTATATAATTAAATATAGTGATGCATATCTCATCAACAAATGTTTATCAAAACAAAACCAGGAAACAAAAATACATTTAATGAGAATGCAAAGCTTCTTCACACAACTTGATAAATACATGAATGTAAACCGAGTATAGGCTGGGTATCTACATTCATAGTTAAAGAATTCAAAGGACATGCTCACTTTAATTCCATACAGCTCTATTTAATTTGTTTTTCAAAAGTAGAATGAATTATCACTTTCAGACAATTTTACGTTAGCTTTTCTTTCCCTTATTATAAATGGATACCTTTTAGCAGCAGATGAAAGAGTTTCCTTTCTTGCAATTGCAACAGAGCTGGTGTGGCTTGGCTTTCTGTTTGCACCACTCCCGTTGGTTATACAGGACATAGAAATAGCTTCTCGAAGGCCTGGAGGGCCTAAAAGTGGTTAAGAAAAAATTTTTACATCAAACTTTAAAATACTCCTCAAAAATTGGAAGTTTAAAAAATTAAGTCCATTAGTCTTAGAACTAAGTAAGCAAAGTGCTCCCTCTGGTATGCAGCATACAATATTAATGTCTCTAAACTTAATCTCATCAAAACAGACCTATAAAAAGGCCATGCTAAATTACCACACTGCAGCTAGACTTACTCTCAGCGAAATGGTTTGCCCTCTACACACAGCAGCTTTAAAACACATGATGCAAAGTAAATCACAAATTTCTACATTACTGATTTTCAGAAATTTCAGCTCTACTGAAATCAAATTATTTAGAAATTCTAGAACCATAAATGTTAAATCTGACAGTTATTTCACTTAAATAAAGCATACATGAATAAAGCAATCTCTGCTTTCTTAATTTACATTGTAGAAGGACTGGAATAAATATGTGATAGGTATGCTGGTGTGGTTAGGAAAATTCAAAGTTACTAGATAAAACAGCCTTTATCTACTAAAGGCAAATTCATTTAAAAATTTGAGAATAGAGGGGCGCCTGGGTGGCTCAGTGGGTTAAAGCCTCTGCCTTCGGCTTGGGTCATGGTCCTGGGGTCCTGGGATCGAGCCCCGCGTCGGGCTCTCTGCTCAGCAGGGAGCCTGCTTCCTGTTCTCTCTCTGACTGCCTCTCTGCCTACTTGTGATCTCTGTCTGTCAAATAAATAAATAAAATAAAATAAAAATTTGAGAATAGAGAACAGTTTTGAACTTCTAGACTGTTTTCTCACATACACACAAAATCTAATTTGGCTAATCTCACCTTTGTTTCCTTGCTTCTCATCATAAAAGCACACAGAGTAAAAAACTTTTCTGTATGAAGCCTAAAGTATTTGGCACCCTAGACAGTACCATATATGATGGTGTAACACTGCATTTTTTGACAAGAACAAGCTGCTGGGGGCCAACCTGTATTACGATCATCTATAATGTTTCCTTAATATAGAGATTCCTAGACCTAACCTCTGACCAAGTAATTCAGAAGAAAGGAAGATGGAGATATCTACTGTATTTACTTTTTGAAATTTCCCAGGAAAATTTTTATTTATAAGAATGTACAGTAACTTCCAAATTATGCTAATATCACCGGTCATCAGATTTACTGCTAGTCTGCCAAACAAGTGACTCCTTGTTGTATTGATAGCTTTTGTTTTTTATTGTGGTAAAATAATTATAACAAAGTTGACCATTTTAAGCATTTAAAAAGGTACACAGTTTAGTGGCATTTAGTATAGTCACAATGTTGTGAAGCCATATTGGATTGCAGAATATTTTGATTACCCCAGACACCCTCTACTCAATGAACAGTCACTCCCCATTCTCTCCTTCTTCCCCCCAGCCCATGTCAACCATTAATTTGCATTACCTCTATATATCTGCCTATTTTGAATACTTCATATACATGGAATCATACAATATGTGCTCTTTTGTGTCTGGTTTATTTTACTTGGCACAATGTTTTCGAGGTTTATCCATGTGGCAGCATGTGTATGAGTACTTTATTACTTTTTATGGCTGAGTAATATTCCACTGTATGAATATACCACATCTTGTTTATCCACTTATCTATTAAGGAACACCTGAATTGTTTCAATCTTTAGGCTAATGTGAATTGTGCTACTATAAACATTTGCTTACAAGTTTTCATTCAAACATCTGTTTTCAGTTCTACTGGGTATAGAACTAAGGAGTAGAACCACTGGGTCACATGGTTATTTTATGTGTTACTTAATGAGGAACCATTAACACAGCAGCTGTACCATTTATAATCTCACCAGCAATGTCTAACGGATTCTTATTTCACCATATCCTTGCCAACACTTGCTATTTTCATTTAATAAAAGCAGATATTTATCTTGGGAGGGGGAGCAGAGGGAAAAGGAGAGCGAGAGAATCTCAAGTACACACCCCACTGAATGTGGAGCCTCCAATGGGGCTCTATCTTACCACCCTGAGATCATGACTTGAGTCAAAATCAAGAGGCAGATGCTTACTTGACTGAGCCATCCAGGTCTCCTGCATTTTTTTAAAATTATAGCTAAACTTAATATAATAAAGTGCTCAGTTAATAATATTAAGTGCCATTTCACTGTAGTTTTGATTTGCATTTCCCTAACGAGAATCTCACTGAGTTTGTTGGCCATTTGTATACTTCCTTTAGAGAATTATCCATTCAAGTCCTTTGCTCATTTTTCAATAAGACAATGTGATAGAAGTTGTTCACAATGCTCTCTTACAATCCATTTTTTTCTGAAAGGTCCCCACATTCATTTCTGGTTTTAGTATTTAAACCTTCTTTTTCATTCGACCTAAAAGCTTGTCAAGCTTGTTCATCTTTTAAAAAACCAACATTTGGTTACGCTGGCTCTATTGTTTATTTGTTTTCTACTTCATTTATCTCTAATCTTTATTTTTCTTTCCCTCTGCTAGCATGGCATTGGGTTTAGTACTTTTCTTTTTCTATTTCTTTAAAGTCAGGTTACTGATTTGAGATCTGTTTCAGCACAGGCATTTATAGCTACAGATTTTCCTCTGAGCACTGCTTTTGCTACATCAACAGCTGGTTTTGAAATACAATTTTTTTTAACTTTTTGTTACACACCCAAAAAACCCCATTAACCACTATGTAAAAACAAACAAACAAACAAACAAACAAACATATAGTCTGCAATCCACTTTCTATGCTCTTTCAATGTCCCAAACCTCATTTCAAAACGTAGATCAATCACATCCATTGGGTATGGTACCACAGCTGTAGGCCTATTATATTATTGCTATTACATCAAAACCAAAAACCCCAAAAATGCAAATGTTGAAAAGGATGTGAAGAAACTGGAACCCTTGTGTATTTCTGGTAGAAATGCACCTCAACCTTCTGCAATCTGGCTATCATCTAACCATTTCACAGACATTTTTCTTGCCAAGATGGTGACCTTAGTTCTTTGTCACTAAATTCAATGGGTACTTTCCAGTGCTAATCTTGCTCAACGTTCCTTCAGCATCAAATATTGCTGATCACTCAGTCAAGGACAATGTCCTTAGTTTCTAGGACACTGCCTTTGCCTGAATTTCTCCTTAGCTCTCTGACCATTTTTTCTCACTCTCACTTGCTGTATCTTCTTCTCCAGCTTACATCTCCCCCCCGACCCCCAGATTTATTTATTTGAAAGACAGAAAAAGAGTGAGAGTGCTCAAATGGGGAGGGACGGAGGGAGAGAGAATATCCAAGCTAACTCCCTGATGAAACAAAGTGTTTTATAAAAGAGTAAAAGGCAGTTACTGGCATCAAGGCCTTCAAAATCTTGCAAGAGAATCATACTGGCAATGTAAATATGTGGTAAACAGAGTATCATAGAAGTACTAAGACATATAACTCTGTAAAGATGATTAAGAACACAGAGCTCAAGAAAGATTTCCTAAAAGAAATGCACAACAAACTGTTAAGCCAGGTAAAACGTAGGTGATAAGATACTTGGATCTTATTCTAGTATGTGTAAAGAAACAGAAAGAATGTAATAGCTAAGTGGGTGTGTATGTGCATGGAAAGGAGGAAGCAGACAAAAAGCTCTTTGTATGGTGAGAATGTAGAACAAGAGGGAGCAGAGTTCAGATGGCAGAGGTAAGCAGCAGTTAGATCATGGAGACTATCTAAAGAGAATAGAGGCCACTAAAAGGTTTTGAGCTTAAAAAAGGAGTTAGTTCAATTTACATTTTAGAGAAAACCCTCTAGTGGCTATGTGAAGAGCAGATTTCAGGGCAGTGGTCCAAGCATAAGATGATGGGAACCTGAAATAAGAGCCTGGTAGTATGAATGTAGAGGCGGAATCAGTTTTAAGAAATGTTTAAGACTTTAAAGAATAAGGTATTCAGTTTGGGGACCTTTTACATTTACGAATTCTGAAGGATATACACACAAGCAGAGAAATCTAGTTAAGTAGATAGACAATTCTGAAGTGCTGAAGTCCAGATCTGGGAACAATTTGGGAAATGGCACTAATAAGTAGTGGCTGTGAAAAATCATGAAGGTAGGTGAGTGCTGATGTAATCTCCTGCAAGAAACTTTCAAGCCCAGTTTAAGTATTTTATTCTAGGTGCTCCCACAGCACCCTAAATTTACCTTTTTAATACCAATTATTTATAATTTTGTAATACTGACCTGTCATCTCAGTTTACCTGAGGTCCTGTGGGGGCAAGGTAGTGTTTTTTATTTCTTTAATCTCCAGCACTTAAAACAGTGCTGTGTACAGTGAAAAGATGAAGGAAACAGACACTGACATACAGTATATGGTATGGAGTAATATTAATAACCAAACAGTTGCTACGTGCTAGGCACTGTCGTAGGTACTTTACAAGTAGTATATCCTTTGATTTTAAGCATAATCCTAGCAGGGATTTACTATTATCATCTGAATTTTACTGCTGAAGAAATTAGAAAGATTATTAATATACTCAGGGTTCTATTGTAGTAGGTAGTGAAATGAAAATTTGAGTCCAGGCAGAAGGGATAGTAAGTAGAAAGAATTCTGCCTAATGTAGAGTGACATTTCAAGCTGTGCCAGGATAACAGATAAGAATTTACCAGGGACAGTATGGGGAAAGGACATTCTAAGTAGCTAATAGTACTAAATCATCAAGGTCACCAGATTTCAATAAAAATAGCAAGAAAAAGCCAAAAGAAGATTTTCATGATCTCTTTCAATCCTACAGTTTGATTTGAGTAGCTCTTGGTACTGGGAACCCTTAGTATTTGGATGAAAGAGTAAAAGATCTCCCAAGGTAGAGGCAATGCTTTAAGCAGAGGCAAAAAACAAAAAGGAACTGTGAGTGAACGCTTGTTTTTCAACTGAGAAGTCTAAAGTGTATTCTTTGAAAATCAGGACCCAGAAGAATGGAACATAAAAATGACTACTGCAGTTAATCACAAATCCATGACTGGAATGCACCG